TTTTTTTTTTTTTTTTTTTTAATGGGAGTCTCCCTTTGTTGCCCAAGTTGGAGTGCAGTGCTGTATTCCTGGCTCACGGCAGTCTCAGTCTTCTGGAGTCAGGCGATCCTTCTGCCTCAGTCTCCCGAGCAGCTGACACTATAGGCATGCACCACCACAATTGGCTAATTTAAAAAATTTTTTTTGTAGAAACGAGGTCTTGCCAAGTTGTCCAGGCTGATCTCGAATCCCTGGGCTCAAGCAATCCTCCTGCCTCAGCCTCCCAAAGTGCTGAGGTTCTAGATGTGAGCCACTGTACCTGGCCTCGAGATGGGATTTCTAGAACATAAGGCCTGGAGGGCTAGGCTCCCCAGCTGAGATTTGGGGGACTGGATTCTGGTGGTGGTGTGCGTCTGTAGTCCTAGCTACTTGGGAAGCTAAGCTTGGTGAGCTGGAAGCTCATTCTAGAGCAGGAAGCTGTAAGGACAGGAGTTCTGGGTGAGGGAGCCCCGAGGGTAAACAACAGGAACAAAAAGTCCCAGTATCAAAGAGGAAGCTTTGATAGAAATGACAACTGCTGTCAAAACCACTTCTCTAGGCCAGGCCTGCACCTTGGCTCCTCTGCAGCAGGCAATGAGGTAGGAATGCCCTCGCAGACAGGATCTGTGAGGCCCTCTGCTCACTGCTCAAACAGGCCTCAGCCCTGAGATTTCCATGCTGCTTCTGCCCCCTGCTCAGAGGAAGAATAATGTTTGCATTATTTTCATGCATTCAGGCTGATCTGAGTCCTCTTCTTCTCTGGCTAGTGAGTGCTTCTGATAGGCGGGGGTGGGGAAGGGCAACTCAGCAATGCCCACACCCAAATATGTGAATTTGTGAGTTTATAAATTTAGTGGGCAAGATTTTCTCTGTGCTTTAAAAATTTAAAAACATGAAGAAAAAAGCCACACTTGGGGACAGAGGTTTTCTTGTAGGAACTCTGCGGGAAGGAACTGCGACCCTACTTGGAAATGTAGCTTTCTGAGAAATACACAGACAGTGGTGGGACTTACATGAGAACGAGTCAACAGTCACAATTGATTATGTTTCCCAAGAGAGAAGGAAATGTGCTATATGCATAGGGCCTTGGTCCTATATTAGTTCGATAGGGCTATCCTAACAAAATACCTGTCTATGGGCTGGGCATGGTAGCTCATGCCTGTAATGCTAGCATTTTAGGAGGCTGAGGTGGGAGGATCACTTGAGCCTAGGAGTTCGAGATCAGCCTGGACAATATAGTGAAGCCCTGTCAAAACCACCAAAAATAAAAAATAAAATTTGCCAGGCATGGTGGTGTGCACCTATAGTCCTAGCTACCCGGGAGACTGAGGAGGGAGGATTGCCTGAGCCCAGGACATACGGGCTATGGTGAGCTGTGATCAGGTCACCGCACTCTAGTCTGGGTAGCAGCATGAGACCCTGACTCAATAAATAAATAAATCAAGTAAAATGCAGGCAGGCTTGCTACCTGCCCTGGACTGCTCCTCTGGGCTAGGGTTCCCCTGAATGTGCCTCCGGTGTCTGTCCCACCCAGAACGTGGAGCTGCTGTTGATTTCTCCCCAGCTGGCTTCTGCTAGCTCCTGGGTTCCTCCACAGGCGAGCTTTACCTGTCTCAGGATCTCACATTCATAGGCACACAGGAGAACCCTGTGGGTGGGATTAGACCCCAGCCTGGCTCTCACCAATGTCTTGGACATTGTCTACTGGCGTCTTTATGACAGATCTGATCCACTTCGGGCAGAGAGACTTGAGTACCAGGGCTTCCAGGTCTATGGTCTAAACTAGAGCTTGGTGGGCCTCAGACTCCAGACCTCAGGCTCAGAAGCCAGAATTCTAGGACATCAAAGTTCCCCCCTCTCCAGTAGATATAGCTTTATTGGTTTTTCGCCTTAATTTTCTAGATTATACTTGCTCATTTGAATTTTTTTGAAAACATAAAAATCAAAGTCCCTCCAGCCTGAGTTGGCCACCATTAATATTTTAGTGAGCAGCCTTTCATAAATCTCTCATTCTTTTCCATTTACATAAATTTATGTAACTCATTGAAAATCGCACTTGAAAACACTGTGCGTACCTTATGAAAATGCTGATGATAAGGCGCGGTGCTCATGCCTATAATCCCAGCCCTTTGGGAGGTCGAGGTGAGGATTGCCTGAGCCCGCGGGATCGAGACCAGCCTGGGCAACTTGGTGAGACCTCATCTCTACAATAAACCAAAAAATTAGCTGGGCACGGTGGCATGCACCTGTAGTTCCAGCTACTTGGAAGGCTGAGGTGGAAGGATCGCCGGAGCCCAGCAGGTCGAGGTTGCAGTGGCTGTGAGCAGAGTGCCACTGCCCTCCAGCCTGGGTGACAGAGTAAGACTCCGACTCAAAAAAAATAAAGAAAGAAAGAAAAGAAAATTTTGTGCTGCATGTCTCTCCCTCCCTCTCTGGCCTTCTCACCTGCGTGCCCGCCCCCCATAACCAACATGAACAACCTGAAGGATAACTTCTATCACTTTTTCTAGAACATGAGATTTTCCTGTGTCACTACTTTAGGATGACACTGCTCACTCGTTGCAGGAAGGTGGAGACCCTGGCTCATAATTCTTTTTTTTGAGTTGGAGTCTCACTCGGTCGCCCAGACTGGAGTACAGTGGCCGCTCCCGGCCACCGCAGCCTCGACCTGCCGGGCTCCGGCGATCCTTCTGCCTCACCCTTCCGAGTAGCCAGAATTACAGGCATGCGCTACCACGCCCAGCTGATTTTTTGATTTATTGTAGAGATGAGGTCTCGCTGCCCAGGCGGGTCTTGAGCCTGCGGGCTCAGGCAATCCACTCACCTCAGCCTCCCAAAGGCACGGGATTACAGGCTGAGCCACCGAGCTCCGCTTCATATTTCTGATGTTCTGCACTTAGAAAACTCTCCCAAGGCTATCTGAGACTAATTCAAGACAAGGGGAAAACCACCCTCAAACAGGTCTTGGTTAAGACCAAGTGAAGTCTTGGTCAAATCCTCCTGCCTCCTCCTGGTACAACTCGGTTCTTATTGCACCTGGGCCTCCGGCCTTTGTTAACCTAGTTCTCAAGAAGGCACGCTCGTCTGCAGTCCCCTGAGCAGTACTGTCCTAAGGCCCCTTTCCTGACATCACAGCATGGCTGTATGTTATGTCATCGATGGGGGAAGCTGAAGAGACGGTTCAAGGGACCTCTCTACACTGTTTTGCAACTTCCAGTGAAACTATGAGTACTCAAAAATATATATAAGGAAAAAATCTTTTTAAAAAATTATTTTTGCTCGTTTTTTTGAGTTAGAGTCTCACTCTATTGCCCAGGCTGAAGTACAGTGGTACACTCATGGCTACCACAGCCTCAACCTGCTGGACTCAGGTGATCCTTCTGCCTCAGCCTTCCAAGTAGCTGGAACTACAGTGCACCACCATGCTCAGCTAATTTTTTGATTTATTGTGGAGACCTCTCCTAGTTGCCCAGGCTGGCCTAGAACTCCTGGGCTCAGGCAATCCTCTCGTCTCTGCTTCCCAAAGTGCTGGGATTATAGGAGTGTGCCGTTGCACCCAGCTAGAAAAAATCTTTTAAAACTAACATGTGAAATTTTTTAAAGCCCCCATCTTGGGTCAGATGTCGTGGCTTATGCCTATAATACCAGGAATTGGGAAGGCCGAGGCAGGTGGATTGTTTGAGCCCAGGAGTTTGAGACAAGCCTAGGCAACAGAGTGAGACCTTGTGGCTACCAAAAATAAAATAAAATAAAAATTAGCCAGGCATGGTGGTACACGCCTGTAGTTCCAGCTACTTGGGAGACTGAGGTGGGAGGAATACCTGATCCCAGGAGGTTGAGGCTGTGGTGAGCCGTGATTGTGCCACTGCACTCCTGCCTGGGAGACAGAGTGAGACCCTGACTCAAAACATAAATAAATAAAAGCTCCCATCTGACCCCAATGGCTCAGGGAGGGGAGGGGCAGTCTGAGCAAATGGGCCGTTCATGTTTCTCTTGCTGCTCACAGCCCTGCTGTATCCAGGAGACAGGATCATCCTCCAGAAGGACCAGGTGCGCCCGATCCGACAGCCAGGAGGCTACTACTCTGACTGGAAGATGCTCCCTCTGAATCGGGCTCTTCTCAGGTCCCAGGAGCTTGGCGAGTCTGTGGCTAAGAAGACTGACAAGCTGAGTTTCAAACCCCTTTTCTCCTGTCCTTTCCTCCTGCCCCAGTGCTGTCCCATTCAGCCACGGGGGCTGGGACACTGACATATGGAGACATCATGTTATCAGTGTCTGTGTCCTAATGCAGCATGCCCGAACTGACGAGTCAGTACAGAGTGGCCTGTCGCCATTTTCACCCCTGGCATGTTTTAGGATTATGGCCTCCTGAGTTCAGCTCCCACACAGCTACCCTCCTGACCAGAGTCCTACACAATTGCAAGGTCTTTAGAAAAGACTAAAAGGAGAGCAGAGGAGGCCCTTCACAAATCACCCGCCAGGTGTCAGGGCCTTGGCAGAGGACAGTGAGGGCGGGCCCTTCTCTGCCCTGCCACCCATGGCTAACAAACCCCTTCTCTGGCAAGAGGTGGGCTTGTAGCTCCTAGGAGGTGAAAAGAACACTGCCCTGGGGCCTGTCCCTCTAAGATGGCCTCCTCTGGTGCTCCAGAGCCTGGACCACCCAGATTTCGGTCAAGCAGCAGGTAACAACCCATGAGCAGCATCAGTGGGTGAACGCAGATTGAAGAACAAGTCAGCATCCCTGCAGAGGGACGGGCCCAACATGGGAGGATACCATGAGAGGGAAGGGGCCCAGGCCCTATCCCAGCACTCTAGACCTCTGCCAGCAGCCCAGTAGGGTGTGTGGCCACAATGCCTGCTGCGGGCCGCTGCGGAGCTGAGTAGAGATCGGCCAGGCCTCAGGTAAATGGACAAGCACTTCTCTGTCTGAGCCTTGGCACCTTCATGTGTAAAGGGCCTAACAGCTCCTGCTATGCATGATGGGGCTCAGGGGAGAGATGCATGTAAACTTCTTAGCACTGACAGCACTGTATTGGTGACTGCTGTGGCTTGACCCTGCTCTGTCAGGGGGTTATCGCATCCCTGGGCCTGCAGGTAGGTCCCATCCACAACACTGGTTGTGAAGAGTTGAGCATGAGATAGGCAAGTGGTGACCTGGAGGCCCTTCTGGTGCCTTGGTGACCGCCTTCCAGCCTGGGGTGGCTGGCACCAGTTCCTGAGCCAAGAACTCCAGAAGTGGCTGGGAACCTAGGAAAAGGACTTTTGTCCATGCTTAGGTAGGCCACAGCTATAAAGCATAAAGAGAGGTCAGGGAGAGGCATTGGCTGTAGCTTGCTACTTAGAGCTGTGGAAGATTCTGAGGCCAGAGCAGGCTTGAGGGGAAAGAGCACTGTGATCGATTAGTGATATCTGCCAGGCCCAAGGTTTGGGAGATTAGTTTTCACCACCCTTGTCCTCAAGGCTGGGTTAAGCTCTGGCAGGGGAAGTGGAAGTCAGGGGCCCCAAAAAGATTCAGATTCAACGACTAGGTGAACATCTCTCAAACGACTCTGGGGAGGTCTCTATGCTGGGCAATGAAAAAACCAAGGCTTAGCAGGGTGCAATGACTTGCCCAAGTCATCCAGCCAACCGGGTTCTGAGGCCAGGTCTGGCTGCCCCAAGCCGACCATGTGTACCGCTGGAGCATGGGGTCAGAAGAAATTCTCCTCTGAGAACTCTGGACTGAGACTCAGAAACAGACCCACCCCAGTGGCCCCTGACCTGCTCCCCAAGGCCCCACTGGCCAGATTTCCCTCTCCTAACAAAATGCCTCTCTCTTCTCCTCTAGGAAAATGTCAAAGAAAATGAACTTTAAGGAGTTTGAGGAATTTACCAGGTCTGTGACAGTCATCTGACCCCAGAGGGAAGGAGGTGGAAGGGAGGCTACTCTGCAGGTAGCATGGTGCTGGTAGCATGTGGCTCAGTGCCCTAGCCTTAGAGGCAGTGAAACAATATTTACAGCATGCCGGGAGGCATTGCTCTGGGGCTTTCTATGTGCTAACACATAAATCTTCTCAGCAACCTTATAAAGTAAGCAACTCTTAGCATACCCATTTTACAGAAGAGGAACCAGAGTCCCAGAAAGTTTCTGAATCTTGCTCAAAGTCACATATCTATTAAATGGTAGAGTGGGGATTTGAACCCAGCCGGCTGGCCCCAGGGACTGCATTCTAAACACCACATTAAAAAGCCTCCAGATCACAGAAAGTGTACGCTTAAGACTTTGGCTTTTAGGGTAACGGAGGTGAAGCCTGCACTGGGCCACTTGCTCTGTGTGACAGCCTCTCTAGGCTTCTGATCCTCACTGGTGAGGTGGACGGGATAAAAGAAATGACCACATGGAGCTGTAGGGAGGACTGAGGGGCTAAAGTGCTTGGCCAGTGCTCACCTCCACTTTGGTCACAGTTGGCTTGCCCTGCGGAGAGAAGCCTCGGCCCTGGCCTGTCTGCCATGACAGCCTTCCCTGTGTCTCTTGTTTGCAGGAACCTGAAGTCAAAGAGGTCCAGTGGTTGGCAGCGAACCCACCCCAATTCCTTCTGGCCAGGTCACCTTCTGGATAAGTTGCGGCTCTACCTGCCCACTGTGGCCACGGACCGGAGTCTGGCGCTCTTCAGTTGTGTCCAACGCAAGCCCCATGTCTACCCTGCCACCTACCATCCTGACCACTGGTGGCCCCTTAGAGACAAGAACTACATGACCCATGCCTATTTTGATGCTGCCAAGGTTTATTACATCAACTAGACTGGCCCAGCTGTTGCCAGGTCTAGCCATTCTGAGCGGGGCCAATGCAGCTAGCAACCCAGGGCCACAGACACAGAGTCAGACACAAGAGATCCTTTCAATGGGATGGCCTAGGGCCAGCTCCCTCTGGACCCAAAGTGTCCAGTGCCTCAGAGGGTATATGTGTCTAGGGAAAGACATGCCATTTTTTATTGTTACCCTCCCTTGACCTCTGCCCTTTCAAAATAAACCAGATTGGAGTTTTTGTCATACCACCTGTGACCCAGCCAATGTGATCTCTTTTCAGGACATGTGGCCAGAGGGGTGTTTGGAAAGCATGAGCCTGGGGGATTACAGCAGGCACATTCCCTGGGACATTGACAGGGATGCCTGCATGGTACCTCCAGCCTCTCATCCTGGGACCTCAGTGCTTCCCACAGGGAAGCCACAGGCAGGATGGGTACCTCTGTGACTTCTGTGAAATGAGGCCGCAGCATGTCCCTCACCCTCCAAACACTGAGCCATTGGGATATGCTTCCAAGTCTCTAAGGTCTTTGGAAACTGAAGTCATGCTCTCTGACTCATGAGCCCCCTCAAGTGGGTTACAGTTGACACTGCACAGACCTCTTCTTTCACACACACCATGTAACATGCTCCCATGCTACACAGCCCATGTGACCACACAGCCTGCAAGATCAGCACGATTTATGAGGTGTGGTATAGTCACAGACCCAGCACGTTCTAGCCCCAACCCTACCACTTGCCAGCTGTGTTACCTCAGAAAAGACATGCCACTTCTCTGGGTCTCTTCAAACTCCCCTTCTCTCTACAGCCAAAATTGCATGATAGAGATGTCAGCGCACCCTTCTCACCTCTCATTCAGTCATGAACACAGTCCCTGGAACTACTGCTGTCAAGCTCACTGGTGACTTCTGTTTTGTGTACAAGCTGTGGAATAAAGGGTGTTTTTCTCCTCCTGACATTGGATTTTCACAATACTCTTGAAAAAGCTAAGCACAACCAGGTGCGGTGGCTCATGCCTGTAATTCCAGCACTTTGGGAGGTGGAGGCAAGAGGATTGCCTGAGCCCAGGAGTTCTAGACCAACCTGGGCAACTTGGCAAGACCGTGTCTCTATAATAAATAAAAAAATTAGCTGGGTGTGGTGGCATGCACCAGATACAAGGAAGGCTGAGGAGCAAGGATCACCTGAGCCCAGCAGGTCGAGGCTGTGGTGGCCGTGAGCGTGCCACTGCACTCCAAGCTAGGTGACCTACTTAAAAAAAAAAAAAAAAAGCCAAGCAAAACAAATAAAGAACAAATTTTAAAACTAGGCAGTTTAACCTAATGGTTAGAGCATGGAGTTTGGAGTCAGATCTCCAAAATTCACTTTCCACGTATGTAAAATAGAGAAAATAATAGAACTACCTTATAGAATTGTGGTACGCATAGTACCTCCCATTACATGCTAGCTGATAATAGTCTCATTATCACTTTATATATTCACACAGGGGAATTGTTAGGAAGCGTCTGGTTTTGCTCTCTGCTGGCTGCTAAGAGGCGCCCTTCGCAGAACAAGAAACACGGGCGGAAATGATCCAAAAGCCGAGTTGGGTTTGGCTTCAACTTCTGGCGGAAGTAGCCCCCCCCCGTCCTCCCGTCTTAGCTCAGAAAGAATTCCAAATTTCTACGAAATCCCAATGGCAGGTAAGATAATTTTTAATTAACTCATAGGTATTAATGTCTGTTAAAATAGAGGCTTTTTTGCAGCATTATTTCTTTGACAAGTCTTAACTGTCTTTGAAGGACCCGGAGACGGAAGTGTTTGTCTTTCCCGGCTAGGACCCAGTGGTTACGTCCCATCAGCCCTTGCGCGCCACCGTCCCCTCTCCTCTTCGGCGCTGCCTACCGAGGTGGCAGCCATCTCCTACCCGGTGAGTCCTAATCCTTGTCCATCTGCATTTCTGTGGACTCCGTCTGTCCCCGTTGCCCCCTGGTGAGGTGGCCGCCTCTTCCACGGGGCCGTCTCTGTGAGCATTGTTGTCGGCTTGCTGGAACGTGTATAGGAACAGCGAAGCGGCTTGGGCCGTCATGGGGCTTTGCCTGCCAAGGCCGTTTGCCTTCCTACGGAGGCCGTCAGAACTGCGGAGGGCGTGGGGTGCTAAGTTGGGGCCAAACTACGTGGGCTACGGGGCAGTGGGACGAGCAGTCCTGGTTTGACTGCTCTCGGCTCCAATCCGTGGGTCCTCAAGCTCACCGATGTCGGACTACGAGTCTTGTCTCATGGCCGCGGCCCGAAGCTCCTTCCCCTCCGGTTTGGCCCCGGGGCCGCTGGGGCGGGACCGGCAAAAACAGACGAGCCGCAAGTCGGCTCGTCGAGTTTTAATAGAAACTCTGCTAGTCAGGATCTCGGGGAGTATGAAGACGAAACTGCGCTCTTAGGATACCATGGTGTTGGGGGAAAAGTCGTTTGTTGAATACACGGTTCGTTGAGTACCCCCGTTGTGCCAAACAAAATAGATTAGTGGCTGTGAAGAGAAGAGGGCTCTGCCGAAGGGAAAAGTGGCTTGAAGACCACACGGGGGAAGGTGTAAGTTGATACTCGAAAATCTCCAGGTAGAGTGGTGTGCTTAAAGGCCTGTGGCATTTTTAGAAGTACATAATGGCTTTGTGTACGTTTTGAGGGTATTGCAGAACAGCAGCACCTTAGGGGAGTTAGTAAGTTTCTCTTCGAATGTATATTTTGTGACAGGCACTGTGCAAGCTTTCAGCCTGCAGTGTCATCTGCATTTTACAGGTGAGAAGACAGACTCAGGGTCAAGTCGATTGGCCAGGGCTGTTACAACTTAAAGGACCATCTGGGGGTTGGGACACTTTGAGAGGTGGAATTTGCTGCCCTTTGCAAGCTGAGAGGGTTTGGGGGTCAATTTTGTTTTGGGTTGGGTGTTGACATTCTATCTTGGGCTCTGAGTGGGTGAGGCAACCTCCTGGGATCGCGTCTGGAGAGTGGCTAGTATTCTGCCAGCTTCGGAAACAGGAGGTAAAGTAAGCCTGGCAGAGGCACCCATTCCATTCCTAGCTTGCTCAGTAGCTAGCGACTGGAAGACACTCTGCAACAGTGTTCAAGCCCTGGGCAGGACAGCCTCCTTCCAGGAATCGTCGTCTTTACACCAGATCTGCTTCTTTCTTCAAGGCATCATGGCTGCCCTCAGACCCCTGGTGAAGCCCAAGATCGTCAAAAAGAGGACCAAGAAGTTCATCCGGCACCAGTCAGACCGATATGTCAAGATTAAGGTGTGTGGTCCTGGGATGGAAACGGGTGTTGGGGTGAAGAAAGGATTTCCTAAACAGACTGTTGGGTTATCGACATCAGCCACCTTTGATATGGTAGATAAACTGGTTTGTGGAAGAGCTCAGGTCTTCCAGGTCTCCTTGAATGTGCCTTATTGAAGTCTTGATGTGTAAATTGAAATTTAAATGAAAAGGGACACATGGCTATGCTTAGAGGGCTTTATTTGTATCATGTATTTCAGGTGGCCTTATTGCCACAGGAGACTAGATTATCCCTGTTTCACAGATGGGAAAACTCAGGACCTGAGGAAGCAGTGTCTAAACCCGAGCTCTTTGTCTTACTATCTCCTTGAATTCCATCAGTATCTGTTCAGCTTCTCTGTTGCTTAGGAGTGTGAACAAGGGGTCTGTGTTCCTGGTGGTTGAAGCTGGGAGCTTCTGTTTTTTCCACCAAAAAAAGCATGTAAAGAAACAGTGAAGTCCTGTTATCCAAAGACAACTTCTGTTAGGCGTATTTCCTTTTCATTTGGTTTCTCCCTTTTTCAAAAGGAAGAGCTAGCAGTTTGCACAGACACCCACTTTTGTGTTGTTTCTTTCAGCGTAACTGGCGGAAGCCCAGAGGTATCGACAACAGGGTGCGTAGAAGATTCAAGGGCCAGATCTTGATGCCCAACATTGGTTACGGAAGCAACAAGAAAACAAAGCACATGCTGCCTAGTGGCTTCCGGAAGTTCCTGGTCCACAATGTCAAGGAGCTGGAAGTGCTGCTGATGTGCAACAAGTGAGTTGGACCCACCTCTGGTTCATGGCCAGAGGTTTGCATCTGTGTGAGTGTTTCTGGCAGAAACTCTAGGTGATCTGGATGTGTTTGCAGGAAGTTAGAGAGTGCTTGTTGGGGAGTTAAAATTTTTTTTTTTTTTTTTTTTTTTTTTTT